TCCAGCAAAGTACTTAATCCCATAACTCTTCTATGCATGATGTCTCCTTTTCAAACTAAAAAGTCCTAGTCTTGTTAATTAGTCCTTGTACACCTCTACCCCGATATAACGCTGTCCTTGGGAGCCAAAAAATCTTACCGCGTTATAGGTGAAACCACGTTATATCGAACTTGCTTTGATCCACCAGAGTGCACAGCCCCGCCCCCCGGAGCGCTGCTTTACCGCTTTATATCCAAATTGGTGTTATATCGGGTTGCGTTATATCTGAGTAGAGGTGTATAAAGCCCTTCACCCAACATGAATTTGTTCTGCTCTTCTCTGGCCCATTCCTATTTTTTGCTGACTGTTGTAACCAAATGTGAGTGTGCTATTCAACATAAGAAGAAATTAGAGTCCTTTAAACAATGATGTCAAAATTAGAGGTCATTAAAATGAATAGGAAAAGTGTGTTTGTACTGGAACTGCAGTGCATTGTAAAAATGTAAATGTCACATATGATTGATTCTTAATTTTATCTTAACATTTTTGATGATGCTTATGAGTAATTATTTTTAACGTAATTATTGCAGGATGATTGGCCAAGATTTCCGTTTCTAGATGAAGATCGTCCTTTGGTGGACAAATTAAGAAATGACTATTCATTTGATACAATTTCTAAGTTTCTGTATGAAAATGCTCCACTACAAATCAGCCGTGTCTCAGATTTGGAGAAGAGAATAGATGAGTGCACAACTGAACTGAAGAAACATGCTGAAAAAATATTTTCTTTTCAACAAAGACCAACAGAGGAAGATGACCATCGTGTTTCACTAGAGCAAAGTAATGGGCAATTATTTTAGTTATTACTACTGGGAATAATGGTTGAAAGGTGAATGAAGTAATTTAATCCATTTCCCAACGTTTAAATTCTGGCTTAGCCCTAGTGATTATGTTCCAGTTTTTGGAAATAGCTGTGAGAGTATGCTGTCTAGTATGGGGGAAGCGGGGGAGGAAAGCAGTGTGTATATATAGACAGAGAATTGGATAAAGATCCAGTGAAATAAAGTAGAATGAAACTTGCACAGTAGAAAATGATCATGCAGTGTTCAATAGGGATAGAGTGTATCTTCATGTATAGCCTTGTGTAAGGAATGGTGCATAAGGTGTAGCCTCAGGAGTAGTCCTGGGAAACATATATGCATATATATCACTGTAGGAGTAGCCCAGGGAGTCACTGTGCCTCAAAGAGGCATAATTCCTTTCTTGTTTCCTATACTTACAACAAATTACACTAACCTACACCAGTTCAGCTACACTGTCTGATGCACTGGGAATGTGGAGCCAAGGCTCTGCCAATTACCTGTTTTCCCAGTCCACCTGCTTCAGGGGGAACGGAGGAAATGAATACATACAATTCACATACACAAAATATATGCATTCCTTTGGTGCAATCAGTGAGGCTCAGATAAGTGAACACAAAAAATACCCTCTGGCTGAGAGTGGATGAAAATGTTGTCCTTCGTCACCACAGTTGACTAGAACCTCAACTTTACATCTCATCTGAAAGACACTTCCAGCAATGCGTTGTCAGTCCATGCTGGGCCATTGGTTCAATAGTGAGTTAGAAAAGGGAGAGCCACTTCTTGAATGATCAGCACCATGTCCTGTAGCACATTGGTTTTCCTTAGAAGTAGCTTAGCAGATTGTATCTTGAATTGCTATGGCTGCAGGGATATCATTATTGCAACTAAATAATTGTGTTTGGATATTTAACTAGATAAATTGATACTGACTTCAGTAGAGATATGCCAGTACACATCAGCTGAGAATCTTGTCCAGTATTTATCTTTTATATTTACTATTTCATGAAATTTTGTATCTTGAAAATATTAGTAAACTCATTTCAGTATTGTTTTCTGCATTATGTATATATTGGGATCTCCTGGGAGATGTGGTCCTGATATTGTAGATACAGTAGGATTGTCAATTGATTTATTAATTTATCTGTGAGCTGAAATCTAATTATTTCTGCTTGATTTCTTCACTGCAATGACAAAATACTCAATTCCATGTACATAGAAAAATGTTATTTTATTATTTTTCTGATGAACACTCTCTGAATATTAGTTATAATATTTCCTAAGATATATCCACACAATTATATATAAATTCATCCTGATTTTTCAAAGTCTGGGCATTCTCATCATATTCTATTGGGCTACCTGATATACAATATATTATAATTTTCTTCAAATATGTTGATTTGTGAATTTCAGGACTTCAAGCACTCTAACTTTTGAAAAAGTTTTGTTTTGTTTTCCCATGTACAATTGTTTCATTCATGTCTTCTTGCTTAATAGATCTTGAATTGGTTTGTTTGCTAAAATGTATTTTGAATTAGGCACTGCAATGACATTATTAGGTGCTAACAACAATAAAACTATGGAAAAACTGTTGAAAGAAAGCTTGCCACTTACTTAAAAGTGACTGAGTGGAGCCAGCCACTGAATCCCTAAAATTAGTCCCAAATCGGCAGAGTACTTGAGCATGTGCTTAACTGCTGTGTTCTGTTAAGTCAGAGACATTGTTCTGAAAAGCATTGTTTGACCCAAAAGTAATACACGAGTAGTTACAAATTATATCAAAGCAGATAGTTAACACTTCCTTTGCTGCAGCTAATGATACTTTTGGAAGTGGTATTTTTTCTGAATAGTATGTGGTAGTTGAGGTTTGTGCCCTGCAAAATAATCAAGAAAAATTATATGGGTACAAAGTATGAAGTAAAGTTTTACATGGTGAAAATTCAGAAAAAGTTCATGTATGATAATTGATGACAAGCTCATGCTTCTCACCCCACCCCACCCCACCCCACAAGGATAATCTTCTGGTTAAGCATGAGGCTGGGCACTTAGGGTTTGTCTACACGGTGGGGTAATGTGTTTTATCAGGTTGTTATTTCTAAAGCTCACTAAAGTTTTGCGCATTAAGTGGTTGACGTAGACCCTGTTAGTATGCTTTAAAAGAGCACTAGAAACCTTTGGTGTGCACCCGCAGGGTCTACATGGACCAGTTGATGCACAGCATGTTAGCATGCTTTAGAAATCAAAGCCCCATAGAGTGCATTACCCCACCATGTAGACAAGCCTTTAATCACTCTGTGTCTCAGTCCTCTATTTGTAAAATTGGATTAATTCCTCGTGTTGGTATTGTAAGTCAAAAATCATTAATTGTAAAGAACTCATAAATACACAAAATTCCACAGCTGTGCAAACTCCCCCCAATGTCAGAAACTTAAAAGAAAGGTACCACTCTTAAGTCCTAGGGGTGCACTCTCCTCTTCATTCCATCTCATAAAGAACAAATAGGTGCACAATAGATGCAATTGGATAATGTGTTTTTTAAATTTATAAAGTGAATATGCCTGGAGGTGTTAGACATGGGCAATGATTCTTAACAGCAGTTTGCTCACAGTGTATTAAGCCATTACATTTTGTTTAGTTAAAGTATAACCCTTAACTTGCATTTGCAACTGGATGTGTGCAGTGTCAAATTTATCATAAAAAGGAGCAAGCTTAGGCCCTGATCCTGCAAAAACTTATGCATGAGCTTAACTTTGTATGAGTAAAGTACTGTACATACAAACGTCTTTGCAAGAATGAGACTTCAGCCTGTCACATCCTCCACAAATGTAGCTCTTAAACAGAAGATGAGATATACATAAAGGAAATGGGAGTCTTACTGAGCCTACCATTCATCTCAAAGATGAGTCAGTAGGACTACACACTGCATAAAATTAAGCACATAAGTATTTGCACTTTTGGAGCCTTAGTTTGCTCAAGATCTTGAATTTGTCCTGAAGCTGAAAAAACAGAGCTGACTATTTTGTTGCTAATTCTTACTCTTTTTTTTAAGCCAATGATACTCAACTTACTGATTCAGAAGAAATTTCAATTCAAACAGGCAAGATGAGGAAAACAAAGGTATACTATTTATTTAATTTTTTTTTCATTCTTTTACAGGCTTAGACAGTGAAGACCAAATTTTCAAAGGGGCCTCTATCTTGCATCTTAGACTGAGTTTGTGGTCCGCCCTATATGATCACACAGATAAAACTACTCAAAAATATGATCGTTCTTTATATTGTCACACTATATTCTGTAGTGTAGATAAGACCTAAAGCCTTTGAGTGTCACAGGCCATGTTTTTCAATTTGAAGTCATACTTGGGCTATTATAAGTTCTGTCTTGTAATATGTCATCAGCTGAAAGCGTTTTCCTTTATCTGAGAATACAAGATGTTTAATTCATGGTAAGAAGTGCATTTAACATTAGTTTTGAATGGTTTGTTTAAAACATTTTTCAGATTGATAAATATATCACTGAGGAATCAAGCAGAAAAAATGTAAAGGTAAGTTTGCTAAACATATAATAAAGTAGATTACAGTATAATATCAAACCAATATATTGTGTCAATAGTGTCAATTTAGGGAAAGAAAGGAATACAGAATTAGGTCCCAAATATATATATTAAAGATTCAATATTATTTTTATTAATTATATACATTTAGATATACCGCATAATGGAAAATCCAAATATGGTGTGAGTGTGTTGATTTAATTGACATGTCATGAATGAATACTTGGGGCCTAATTTTTGGTTTTCTCTAAGCTGTGCTTAATGAAGAACCTATGGGGGAAGCAACAGTAGCTGTGTGTCAGTTTTATATTCTCCTGATTCCTGGGGCTGTTTGGGGCTGCTCGTAGGCAGTGGGTAGCTAAGGCTAGAGAGGACTCAGTCTCCCCAAAATTGATCTCTGCCAGAAAAAGCCTCTTCACTACTGCTATGATGGAGGGCTTAATTGGGTGCTAACTGCGTGAGCCGTAGCCCACCTAGGCCCACTCATGGATATGCCCCCGCTGAGCCTCCCTGCCCCAAAAAACATTTTCTTCAGCCACCTATGAGTCTGCTTCTGCTCCTGCCATAAGTTAAAGGAGCATGTAACCAAATCTGACTGGTAAGAGCACACAAGGCGCCACTGGGACAGCCAGGGATTCTGACTGCTCCATTTGAGGCATCAGTGTGATTACTTACATAAGTAAAGTTAGTGATAGGTGTCAGTGTTGTGGAACTGAGCACTAAAATATTAACTGACCAAATTTCATAGAGATAATATGAAATGAGAACAGATGTAAACTTCTATCACAACACAATAATGTATTTATAACTGAGCTAATTAAGTTAAGAAAAATATTACTGATACATGTAAAAATAGCAAATAGGTTCTGTGTTCTTCTGAGACTTCTCTAAAGTTAAGGACCAAAACCTGCTCACGTGAATTGCATGAGTAATTTTATTGACATCACTAGATCAGAACCCACTTAGCTCACAAGAGTGGTATTATCTGCATAGAGTGGTAATATTTGCATAATACTTTGAGTGCTATGTAAATGCTAAGCATTCTTCTTATTTTTATTTTGCTTTCTGTACTCTGAAATACAAACTGACCCACTTCCTGGCGTGAAATAAAAAACATACAGCATGTTCAAATTATATGAGGGTGATGTCAGGCAGAAGGAGAATTGTTTTCTTAGCTATGTCCATGGCCTCTGCTGGAACACTATCTGTTATGCACTTGCCATACAGTTAACAGAATGACTCTGCAGTGACTAGCTTCAACAAGGAGATGAAGGCAGGGCCTGGGAAATAGCAAAATATGATCGCAAATTGAACTGCTGACTTAAATATAAAACAAAGCAAAACACCTTGACTGGGGTTTTACTCTATAGCTTATGGGGGGGGAGGGAGTAATTTTTGAGACAGAATCATAGGGATGCAAAACATTTATTAATGATCAGGCAGCAATTTCTTGCTGTACCTTGACTGATTGATAATTGGACCTCTCATTGAGTCTGGACAATCATAGAAAGTAATTGGTAAAGAAAATACTACTGAAAAAATGGGACTCCCAACAATGGAACATTTCCATTGTGGGTAAGTGTCTTCAATTTCAGTTTAGAAAAAATATATGGTGGATACATTTGAAGTGATATATTCTCAGCAAAAAAAAAGAAACTACAAGGAATGTAATAATTAGTAATTAAACGTTTTTTTCCTTTAAGAATTATAGATACCCAGGTTTCAAGTTAAAACAGCTTACAGAACTACCAAGACATTTGGAAGCAGCAAAACTTTGGGACTTGGTTATAAAAGCTCACAATTTCAAAGTATGTACACTTTACTCCAGTTTGCTAAATAGAAACTGCTAACATAAAATAGTGCCAAATCTTTATGGTTTATATCTTAAGTAAGCATATATTTTAAAATGTTCATATTCCATTTTTTCTTTACGTTTTTTTAATTCATGAAAGATGCCAGACTGAGAAATCTAGACAGTGAAGTCCATCATTTATACACACAACTGGCTCACCTCAGGCAGCAGCAATGAACGTTTCCCCTCAAAGTATTTTCTTGTGTCTCAAACCTGATCTATTATTATATTGGGGAAAAATACATTAAATTAACATTAGAGTTGCAAAGTTAAGCACTCAGAAGTTAGTAAGCTCCAGATCTTCAAAGGTATTTAGGCACCTAACTCCCATTAAAATTAATAGGAGTTAGGCATCTTAATACCTTTAGGGATGTGGGCCAAATTAGGGTTGCCTATATAACCTTAATTCAGCCTCCTTCTGTATATGCATTATAGTATAGTCTTGAATTACATGATCACGTGGTATTTTTGCACAGGATCCATCTCTCATTCAATCCACAGGATGGACAGTGCTCAAGGAATGAATCAGGCCTGTGTAGTGCATGAGGCTGTTGTCTACAGGACTCCTGCTGTGAGGATCCATGGACCTGGAACCCAGGTCTGCAGGCTCCTGTGTGGCTCCCTTGTTCACACAGCCAAACTACAGGTCTGGTGAAGCAGGGAACAGCAGCCAATGAGCCCTATGAGTTCAAGCTCCACTGGATGTCTCACCCATGGAGGTCCTGACTGGCAGAGCCTACTGCGTTCTCTAATTGCCCTAGGGAGAACATCTGGAGGCTGTTTGTGCAACTAGGTGGATTTCCAGCTTGCTGCTGCAAACAGACCCTTGATACATTGCCTCACTGCTGGTTTCTGGCCCCAGTCCTGCTCCTGATGCCAAGCCTTGCTTCCGGTTCCTGGTCCCCTGCTCTGCTCCTAACTCCTCAGGCTGCCTTCGTTCCTGGTTCCCTGCTCCATTACTGCATCTTGCCCTGCCTCCGTTTTACTAACCGTACTTTGGCTGACTCACTTGGCTCTGACATGGTGCAACTCATTGACCTCGATTCCAACCTTGACTGCTGCTTCTGGCGTTGAACCCTCTAGACTGAACTCAGACCATGTCCCTTATAACCATGGCCCTGGCCTCTTCCCCCACCTGATACCTGCCTAGCTGATCCTGATACCTGCCTAGCTCAAGTGAGAGGGAAGTGAGAATGACCACACTGGGAAACACCACTTAAGCTACACAGAGTGATTGGATTAAGTGATTTTGTTAGAAGCTGATGAGTTGTAATTCAAGTTCCTGCATCCCATTGCATTACTAGCGCAGCAGCACACAAGCTTTGGTGTGTACGTGTTAAAGTTCCCTTATACGCTATCTAGCTCAAATTTAAAGCACCACTTAATTTGAGCTGGAGGTTTGTGTTTGTGTACAGGAATCAGGTTAGGGAAAAACTTGAGTTACACCCCAAGCTAATAGGTCAGTGAAGACAAGCCCTCTGTTTCTTCAAAAGATTATGCACATGGATTCTACTCTTGGTGCGCACCCATTTTGTACAAAATGGGATTCTTTTGGGCAGTAGTGCCCAATAGGACTGTGCCTGCTAGATGTCCTTGCACCTCCCACTCAAGAACATAAAAGGCAGAGTGGTCCCTGCTATCCCTCAGTTCCTTCTTACTTCCTGTGGCAGCAAGAAGGAACCCCTCCAGTGTCCACTTGCTTCTCGGTGCTAGTTATTATTGTTAATTAGTTAATTCTCAGTGAAATAGTTTTAGTCTTTTTGCCTGTTGGCACCAAAACCAGGGGTTTTTTGTGTGAGATATTTAATTTATTGGCTAGACTTCTCCCCTCCATCCATTAGAGGAGCTCTAACAATATGGAAGAAACAAAATTCCCAGGGTTCAAAATCTGCCCTTCATGTGAAGCTTCAATGCCACTTTCCAGCAGACTTGCCAGCTGCCTCTTTTGTTTAGAAGAGGATAAACAAACATAGAGAATTGGTAGACAAGGTCCCAAGGGAAAGAAAAAGAAGTTCAGGACAGCTGGCAGTTTCTCAAAGGGACAGCATTAAAGGCATAACAGCAAACTATCCCAAAGCAGAGTAAAGATAGGAAGAAACAAATATAGCTGTATCAGGAGCTCTTTAAATACCTGAAAATCAAAAAGGAATCATACAAAGAGTGAAAACAAGGACAAATTGCTAAGGATAAGTACAAAAGAAGAGCACAAGCATGAAGGGACAAAATCAGGCATAAAATGAGTTACAACTAGCAAGGGACATAAAAGGCAATAAAAAGGTTCTGTAAATGCATTAGAAGTAAGATGAAGGAAAGTGTAAGTCCATTACTTAACAGGGAAGGAGGGGTACTAACAGATGACACAAAGAGGAGGGTGCAAGTGTTTACAAATACCTACACCATCTCTGACAGATGTTTGTCTAGCGTGTTCTTAAAAGCTTCCAATGACAAGAACTATACAACCTCCCTTGATAATCTTTTCCAGTACTTAACTATCCTTATAGTTAGTTTTTTTTCCTATTATCTAATCTAAATCATCCATAGACTGTAATGGGAGGGGCAGAGCTCTAACCTTTTATAACCCTTTGAAGACTTATCCCAAATAAGTGTTTAGGTCAACTGTCATTCTTTGAATAGCTGGTAATAACTTTTACAAAAAAAAATTATAGTGCTGTATATTTTGAGGGACTGAACATTACTTCTAACATTAATGTTTCACTACCAGCCTTCAACAAGATGTTTAGATTCAAAATATACAAATTTTTTACTTTTTAAAAAATTACTTATGTATGCATATGTTTGGCACACAATGCTGTCAGAAAGCCTGCTATATAGACCCAAAAATGAGTTGGACAGCTCAAAAACCATAATTTTAGTACCACCCCCAACTCCAAAAAGTCTGTTTTTTGTCGTACTGACACTACGTTACCTTCAGCAAATGACAGGAAATTAATAGCTGCCATAATAAATAAACCTGACACAGTCAAAATGCATGAATTCCAGAACAATTCAGTACATAAATTACATAATATTTACAATTTCTCAGTTATTATCAGATAGTAACAGATTTAATAACTGCTTCAAAAATTTAACTTTAGAAATACAATTTGTGTAATGTAATACTTTATAATAACAGCCTCATTTTGAAAAAAAAATGTAGAAGACTGCAATTGCATTCTACATAAGCATATTGAAAAAATACCATTATGTGAGTTTTAAAGTCTTTTTATGGCATTAATTGTAATATTTTGGGGCCAGTTTCAGTGGCGTTGGAACAGTTTTTATAGTGGGGCAGCTGAAAGACATTGAACAAAACTGTATGCCTTGTGTATGATAGAAATCACTTCAATCCAGAGGGTGCTGCCACACCCCCAGCACCCTAGTTCCAGCACCATTGGCTAATGTGTACCTTGCCCTGTAGAGCTACCCACCAGGACAATCCTAAAACCTCACCAATACTTCTGCACAGGGGCCATGCACAGTTCATAATTTCTGCCGGTTACCTGATGCAGAGGGGAATAAATGTAACCTATATATGAATCTACTTTATTGATTTGGCTAGCTACTCTTATTCTCTGAGGTATTGTTTTTAAATTGCCATTGTGTTGAACTCATTTTTAGGATTCAAATGCAAAGAACACTACCTAAGGCCTCACTAATTTTGTGTATCTCAGTTTTTGAGTGCCAAATTAGAGACACTTAGGACCTGAGTTTCAGATATGCTAAATATCTGTAATTCCAGTCAAAGCAAAGCCAATGCAAGCTGCAAATGCTTGGCACTTAAGAATATCAGGCTTTCATTGTATCCACTTGAGTACCCCATGTTGTACCCAACATAGTGGATAATTTTGAAAGAAACTGCTTCTCTTCAACTTAAAGCTAAGCATTTTCCTCTTGAGGTTTTTTCCAAGTGTTTGCTGAAGCTAAGACATTTTTCTACTATCTGCTGGATTTTGTTATGAAGTGCACCACTTGCGCTCTTTAACTTTTCGCATTTCTACAGTCTGAATAAATAAATTAAACAAAAAGTTTGTTTCAACAGGGAGAAGTTTTTAAAGTTTGGAGAAAGTTGTTTCTCTCAGAAGCATCTATTGCTGTTTTACAGGATTGTTTTTGGTGGTGGTTTCTTCAAAAGTTTAAGGTATAAACATATAACAAAATTATTCTTACATCTCTTCTAATCAAATGTATAAAATAACGATTTCTTGTTTTACAAAGTCATGATCCATAGATTCAACAGGAGCAGAAGTAGGCCCAGAATGAAACATCTAACTTTAATCTGATCTCAGAGGACAAACGTTTTACTTGTGAAGAGCCATTTAAGACAGAAGGTTTATATCACTGAATAATAAAATAAAACTTTAAGCCAGTATTGACTGTTTACTTTAGCTTTGCTTACTTTGTTTAATGATGCTAAGATTTATGCAAGATTTTGTTTTGAAATAATTAAATATAAGAACATAAAGCAAAAATATCACTACTTTTGTTACCTGACACTATCAATATGTACATAACTGAGGAGCCAAGGGAAAATATTCATACAGTACATGACTGTGCTTGTGAGCTACCCTTGACTCAGTACAGTGCTTCAGCCCAACATTTAAGGTGGTGCTTAATAGGGATGGATTAAACCCGTGCTTCAAATTAAGCATGTGCTTAAATGCTGTGCCAAATAAGAGCTTTTGCAACAAATTAAGAAAACTGTTAATTTAAAGGGGGAAAGAATACAGCAAAATGTAAAATTACTTTGGGAATATGAATAACAGTGTTGTTCCTCATATCGTCAGATTAAATGCCACAAGAAATTGCTAATGCCACAGTTCAACAGGGTATTTAAGCACATGTCTAACTTTAAACATGTAAGTCATTATATTATCTGTAGTGGAATTGCTCGCATGCATAAGTACCCTGCTGAGTCGGGGCCTAAATTCTGACCATCATCATGTTAATTCATAACTATTTCTGATTTTATGTTGATTTTTCCTTTTAAGCCTAATCAAGAAGATCAAGATTACTTGTTTGACAGAATTGCAGACAGCTTTGTATCACTTTTCCTATGTGTCCCCAGTGATACTAAAGATGCTTTTTTTCAGGTAATGGTACAGTAACATATGAGTTGCAATGATTAGTTATATAAGTTTGGCAAGTTTTTAAGGCTCTTTTTCTTCCTTCTTGTACATGGTGTGGAAAAATGCATTAATTTCATGGAAATTGGTATGGCAGAGGTAAAAGCCATACAGAGACAAGCTCCCCCACTCACATAGACACAAACATTCCCTTGCTTAAACAATACATGTTTTGGGAGAGATGTATAGGGGGTTCCTGGCTGAACAAAAGGAAATAGAAGTTAGGGAGCAGCAGCTGCCCAGGGAAAATTTTCAGAAGTACCAGAGGCCAAAAGATCAGACTTTTAAAGGGATTTAGGCACCAAAACAGGTAAATAGGTGCCTAAGTCCACCATGTAGGCACCGCTGACATTTTCAAAGCTATAGCTCATGTGCCACCTAATCCCTTTAGCTGCCTAGGTACCTTGAGCACCTAAGTTTCTGCTGGTAAGCATTTACAAAGCAATCTAAGTTCTGCTGCCACCCAACAGCTAACAAGCTGCTCAGAGCAGTAGCTGAAGCAGAAGCCCTGAAGTGGGATTTTTGAAGTAGGAGAGAGAGAATGCTTACCTCACCTCCAGGGCCCTATCCTGTAGGTGTGCTTTAAGCACACCTGTTACCTGCCAGACTCTGCAGCAGGTAGTCTAGATGCAGGATACTGATAGATGGCAGCATATTTTTTGGGCGGGGGGGGGGGGGCGACACAACACAGCACCTGCACAAAAAACATTCAGGGCACAGGGACATATAAAGCCAGCATGAGAAAGGTATCTAAATGAGCAGGAGAGAGATAGAGAGCATTTTGGCAGGTAGGGCCTGGGTTACCTAAGCAGCTGACCTGGCATAGATGGCTAACTACAGGAGAGGGTTTTCAAGTCTGAGATTTTGAGCAGAGATCAGCTGCTTAGATGCCTAAACTCTGCCTTCTTCCTGCCCTTTCCTCTGCATTTCACTACTGGCTTCTGAAAATCCCTTTCTTAGGTGCCTAACTCTCCGTATGTGTTGTATGAGGAGTCTGGGTGCCAAACTCAGTGCTGTGAATACCACTGGGTGGCAGAGCTCCTAGGAGTTAGGCTCAGTGTTGCAACACCTAAGTCCCCTTTGTGAATCTAGCCTTGAAGCACTTTTGAAAATGTTACCTTATGTAGCATACTCCTACTGAAAAGCACAATACAAATTTCTACTAAATCACATGTAAGTTAATGCTGAGGACATAATTATCAACTTCTTGAGCTAAAGGTCATCTACTGGACCTTACAAGAGGGGTTGCACCCTTCCTTAGGATTAATAGGGCAATTAAAACTAAACTGTCAATTATCTAATATTAGTTAAGCATTTTGAGATCCTCAGATGACACACTATATACTCATATTCTCCTCCTCATATAGGAGTTATGTGGATTATTTCATTAATTTACGTGAGGTTCTCAGATACTGTGGTGATGAGCACGAAAGAACATCCAATAAACTAGGACTTACTCTTGATTTTCCTGCCAGTAATTCTGACTCTGAGAGGCTGTGGCATTTGGAACTCCTCCAGTGTGGGGCTGCATTTAAGCTATTACTAGGCTATGTCGTCACCATTCACTCTGTATATTTGACAAACAATTTACTCTGGCTAGACTTTTCCTGTTGGTGTGTCTATTTGGGAGCCCAGTAGCCACAAAGTGGTACAATCAACCAGGAGAAAATAGTCATTAGGTCTAAAAATGCCATGTGCAAGTCCATGAGGTGTTGTTCTGGGTGGGGTCTTGCCTCCCACTCACAAGGAGAAATTAGAAGTAGAGATAGTTACATGTATATTTGTATGGTGTAAGTGTTTAGTATGCAACATATATTATGACATTGCTTGGACCAGAATCCAGATATGTGCTAGCATTTAAAATTCAGATTGATATGTTGCAGCAGCTGTGTTTTTATTCAGCCTGCATGACTGATATGAAATTTAAAATAAACTCCTAGGTTTAAATTATTAAAATGAAATGTTTGCATAGTATTTTCTTATGAAAATATTATGTGAATAGACTTTTTTAGCATTATAAAAATGCTGATACGGTGCTAAAGTTAGTATGCACATATCTGAACCTATATATTCTAGGTAGAGAAAACAGAGCAATGTGGGTATGGGTGAGAAAGAAAGAGAGAGGAGAGTGACAACTTCTAATGTTAGAACAACATGCTGGCAATCTGAAATTAATACCTGGCTCAAACAATATGTGACCAATGAAATGTGATCCTAAAATAAACATGGCAAAATTTTCCAAAATGCTTATTTTTCATTACATATAGTGATTACTTAAACCTTAAGCAATTTTTTTAATTCCCAATTCACTCGTCCTGCTTCATTTGAGCCCATAATGACTCATTCAGAGATTATAAATGTAGTCTTTTGGAATCAGCATTTTACAATTCTTGTTCTAGCTGCCAACCTTGACTTGTACCCTTTTTCAGCAAGGTATTGACCATTACACCTGCTATTATATTTGACAGATATTTAATATTTCATACAAATAATAAAGACAAACTATTTTTGAATGCATTAGTTCAATGATTACTGCATTCCGCTTTAATTTTTTTATGTAAGCAAAATTATAACTATAGTAAAATTAGTACTAAAGCTCTTTTTTAACCTTATAATTATTATATTCAGTTTAATTCTTATTTTGGCAGGTGTATCCTGATTGTTTGTCACAAGTCATCTATGTTGCTTTCTGTGAAGCATTTCCAGAATCCAGTAAATCTTTTGATGATGCATTTAAAGATGGATTAGTGGATTTAATTTTTCAGTGGGTATCAGGTACTGTTAGTTAATTTAAATACATTTTTGAAATGTATTATATTAGGATTTCCAGATTTCTTTCCCTCATTTAGAAATTATTACTTTTACCCCACTAGTGGTATTTAATAATAATAATAATAATAATCTATTACAAGAAATACTATTGTCAAAGATGCTCTTCTGAGTCTGGAGCATTAATATCTCAAATTCCAACTCTTGGTTAGAGAATGGAAAGCAATTGGTGGTAGACTGGAAAACAAATGGAGATAATTTGAGCTGATTGTTCATCATCATCTCTGTGGAACAAATGTTCTTAATTATTTAAGGAAACAATTAACCTTGACCTGACTGAGGATAAATTTAAGTCAATTATTTTGTATCTGCATGTAACTCAGTACGTTTCCACTTGCACCTTAGCTAATTGGATTTGTGAAAACTTGTCTAGAACCTTTAGCTTTATTCATTAATGAAATTATAAATTCATTTATTATTAATTTTAAAAGTTAAGGTTACTTAATGTTTAATGGTACTTTAAGATGCCTCAGCATTATAGAATTTGAGGTTTTGTGAGTGGGTATTAACCTTAGAAATTAAATTTTCTTGCATAATGCCAGCACTTAACATATTTTACGAGCTATCATCAAATCTGTAATCTCTGCCTCATTGCAGAGGTCTGGGAACTGTTATATATATATATATATATATATATATATTGTATACCTGTAAAAATATTTAACTTTTGCAGAATTAGCCAGCAATTGTATAATGATCTCCAGGCATATGTATCAATGTCTCCTTATGGGTGAGCTGCAGTCTGTGCAATGCACCATTAGGGTTGCCAACTTTCTAGTCACACAAAACTGAACACCCTTGCCCCTGCCCCTGCCCCGCCCTCCTCCGAGGCCCCGTCCATGTCCCGCCCCTTCTCTGAGGCCCTACCCCCGCTCACTCCATCCCCCACTTTGTCGCTTGCTCTCCCCACCCTCACTCACTCGCTCATTTTCACCGGGCTGGCTCAGGGGGCTGGGTTGCGGGAGGGGGTGAGGGCTCTGGCTGGGGTCCGGGCTCCAGGATGGGGCCAGAAATGAGTTCAAAATGCAGGAGGGGGCTCCAAGCTGAGGCAGTGGGTTAGGATGTGAGAGGCTGGGGGTGCGGGCTCTGGGGTGGGGCCAGGGATGATGGGTTTGGGGTGCAGGAGGTGGTTCCGGGCTGGGGGGTGGAGCCGAGGGGTTTGGAGTATGGGAGGAGACTCCAGGCTGAAGCAGGGGTTTGGGGTGTGGGAGGAGGTACGGGCACTGGGCATGGGGGTGCGGGTTCCGGGGTGGGGCCAGAAATGAGGGGTTCAGGGTGTGGAGGGGACTCCAGGCTGGGGCAGGGGGTTGGGGTGCGGGGGAGTGAGGGCTCTGGCTGGAGCTGCAGGCTCTGATGTGGGGCCGGGATGAGGGATTTGGGGTGCAGGAGGGTGCTCCAGGCTGGGACCAAGGGGTTCAGAGGGCAGGAGGGGAGCACGGGGGGGGGCACCGTAGGCCAGATGAAATTAACCACGGGGTTGGATCCGTGCCCTAGGTTCTCTAGCCCTGCCCTACACGTAGGAGCTGGACGGGGGACATGCCGGCTGCTTCTGGAGAGCCGTGCGGAGCAGAGGCTAGCAGGGCGCCTGCCAGCCACGCCACGCTGTGCTGCCAACCAGACAGTCAACAGCCTGGTTAGCAGTGCTGAGTGGAGCCGCCAGGATCCCTTTTTGACCAGGTGTTCCAGTCAAAAACCGGACATCTGGTCACCCTATGCAGCATGCTGACTCTTTCTCTGTGATCCTGTGTGAAGGGAATATTCAGGAAGAATCTGTGGTGAGCACAGCAATGCAGCAAGAATGCAAAATCTTCAGGCCATGATTGAAAGAGAAACTGTTGTGTGAATATTGGAAAAGAAAGTAGGCAGAGACAGACAACGTGAATTATCTCTGTTGGAGGGAGCACTAGAACATCTTCCCCATGAATTAATCTTAAAATGTCCTGTGAAAATACTTGGAACTGGAAAGCCTGTGGTGAATGCAGTTTATTCCCTTTTCCAGGAGCAATTTTTTTCAATTTCTATAAAGATTATTACAGGAACCAAGCTTGTCTGGTCTGATGTTCTTTGGCAGCAGAATTTGATTTTGAAATTTTTATTATTAATGTCTGCATGGTCTATTACCAAGGTATAATAATAATAGATTTTTTTTGCTTTTAATCAACATCCAGACATAGATGAACACAATACATTGAGGAAGAGAGATTTTTTTTTAAGGAAATCATGCTTTACCAATCTATTAGAATTCTTTGAGGGGGTCAACAAGCATGTAGACAAGGGTGAGCCAGTTGATATAGTGTTGTTGGACTTTCAGAAAGTCTTTGACAAGCTCCCTCACCAAAGGCTCTTAAGCAAAGTAAGCAGTCATGGGATAAGAGGGAAGGTCCTCTCATGGATTAGTAACTGATTAAAATATAGGAAATGAAGGGTAAGAATGAATGGTCAGCTTTCACATTGGAGAAGGGAAATAGTGGGGTCCCCCGAGGATCGTTCTGAGACCTGTGCTGTTCAACATATTCATAAATGATTGGGAAAAGCGGGTAAACAGTGCGGGGACAGTGACAGAGTTTGCAGGAGAAGGTAATTAAGTCCAAAGCTGACTGTGAAGAGTTACAAAGGGATCTCATAAAACTGGGTGACTTGGCAACAAAATAGAGATGAAATTCAATGTTGATAAGTGCAAAGTAATGCAATGTAATCCCAACTATACATACAAAATGATGTTAGCTAAATTAGCTGTTACCACTTAAGAAAAATCTTGGAGTCATTGTGGATAGTTCTCAGAAAATATCTGGTTAATATGCTGTGGCAGTCAAAAAATCTAGCAGAATGTTAGGAACCCTTAGGAAAAAGATAAATAATAAAACAGAAAATATCATAATCCCTCTATATATAAAGCCATGGTATGCCCACACCTTGAGTACTGCGTGTGGTTCTAGTCACCGCATCTCAAAAAAAGATATATTAGAATTGGAATAGGTACAGAGAGGAGCAACAAATATTATTAGGGATATAGAGCAGGATATAGAGGAGAGATTTAAAAAGACTGGGACTGTTCAGTTTGGAAAAGAGTTGACTAAGGGGGGATATGATAGAGATCTATAAAACCATTTATCCAGGGTGTGGAGAAAACAAATAGTGAAGTGTTATTTACTCCTTTACCTAACACAAGAACCTGGGGTCACCCAGTGAAATCACTAGGCAACAGGTTTAAAACAAATACTAAAAAGTACTGCTCACACCACACAGTCAACCTGTGGAACTCATGGTCCTAGGATGTTGTGAAGGCCAAAAGTAAAACTGGGTCCATAAAAGAATTAGATAAGTTCATGGAGGATAGGTCCACCAATGGCTATTAGTCAGGATGGGCAGGGACACAATCACATGCTTCAGGTGTCCCTAACTCTGACTCCCAGAAGCTGGGACTGGATGACAGTCACAAATCTGTCAGTGGTAGGGTAGGGCACCCCCTTTGGGTTATATGGGGAGTGCACATGCTTGAATCCAATTACTCCATCCCCACCCCAGTGGGTGCTGTGGGGCATCTTTTTAGCAGGCTGGCAACCTTCCAGATGGGGACTCTTCACTGTCAAGTCCCTTCTCTATGTCCCTTGTGATGCCACCAAACATCCCATAGTCAGCAAAACAGGTTAAACTAAAGAAAAACTTGTAAGCAGGTCCCTCCAGGATATGGGACTCTGGGAGTATCAAGGTCCACTTCAGAGCTCACTGGGCCAGTGCAAGCCTCTGTTCTTTTCCCCTTCTACTCAGGGGTTCTGCACCCTCCTTCTGCAAGGGCAGGGGCTCAGTAGGCTGTCAGTCCTCTCTCCAGGTCTGGAGAAGCTGAACAGTTTGTTCCTTTCCCAGGGTTGCCCCTATCTGAGTGGAGTTCCCTCTCTTTTAGCTCCTCCTCCAGTCCTGGCATGATTTGCAGCAGCAGCATGAAAGGGCCAATCCAGCTCCTTATCCCTTCCATGCTAGTTGGGGTTTATATACACTGTCACATAGGGACTGGATCATCCATAATTGCCATGTACTGTTCATTCATAGAATATCAGAGTTGGAAGGGACCTCAGGAGGTCATCTAGTCCAACCCCCTGCTCAGAGCAGGACCAATCCCCTACAGATTTTTGCCCCAGATCCCTAAATGGCCCCCTCAAGGAATGAACTCACAACCCTGGGTTTAGCAGGCCAATGCTATCCCTCTCCCCAAGGTAACAAGTGAAAGGGGCATTTTTGACTCCTCCCCTCCTCAGTGTCCCCTGGGCTGGAATGCTACATTCCACAGGGCCAAATAAGTGGATAAAGCCACAACCTCAGCATATCTCCTCTCAGCACTGCCCTATAAGTACTGCACGCTAACCAATTGCACCACTGGAGCATTCCTTCTGAAGCATCTGGCATTGGCCACTGTGGGAAGACAGGATACTGGGAGACTACTAGATACTGACAGACCATGGGTCTGACCCACTATGGCAATTCTTATGTTTTTAGACTGAACTTTCATCTGGACTATTGACTATATATCAGATGCAGACTACTTTAGCGCTTATTTGTTTACATTTTAGCCAATGTGGGCTTCACTGACATGTGCATTGGCACTGTGTGATAAACATTGCGCTGCTGATAAACAGTAGAAATATATTTTATATACCTGTAAAATGCCAAAAATGTTTGTCTCTGTATTTCCCCCCCTCTATGAAAAGCATTGTTTTTCAGGCAAAAATTACTTTGATCTTACCAGGAGACAAAGAGAAAATTACTCAGAGAAAAAAAATGCATTAAAAATCTCATTTTAGGACGTCTCTGCACACCAAGGTCACAGTCTACCACTCTTCTCTGCATATGCTGTTTTACCATGGCAGGACTCCTCAGCAGTCAGAATAATGTGCTGTGGATTATATTTTTATTGCTTCTCTGGGCAAGAACAAAGTTAATTCCCAGTGAGACCTTACTGCTCACAGCAGCATACATGTTAACCTGCTGAGGGATAAATGTGCACCATAACTCCCAAATGGGTCTTACACTGGCACGAGCTAGTTAAACCCAAGAATCTAGCCTGTAATATGTGTCTACTGTAAATAGACAGTGGGCAGAGTTATCAAGAATTCAGTCGGACCAAATGCCAAAAGATAACTAGAAGACCACTGCTGTGGCTTGGATTCCATATATTTCTGGAAATACTGAAACGTTTGGGTTAGAGGCAGTAAAACACTACTGGCAAGGAAATAGAAAGCCACCGAATAAAGCAAATTATACACCCCTGCCAGGATAACTTGCAGCCTTAACAAAATCTTTCATTGTAAATGTTTTGTGATGTCAAATTACCAGAATGGGAACAACTACAAAATAAAGATATTTCTCCTCTCATGAAATATAATTTAAGATATCCATACACAAAATCAAGTGGAAAAGGAAGTTAACAAAAATAGTAAATTAAGATAATGAAATGAAAACAAAATATTGAATAGTAAAATGGGCATTCAAGGCCCAAACCTGGAAAGAAAGACTGTTTTTAAAAAAATAACACTACTCAAGCAAGTGAAAGCCTAGCATGAGCCCCAACAAACTTTGTTTAAATTAGCCATGTGTCACCAAATACATGAATTTTAAAGAAGATGTGCATTTCAAGACTCTTGAAGAAAAACTGACACCACTATTCCTAATTCCACTGCAGACGGTAAAATGCATGAGCATTGGTTGTGCAGTTAGAGCAACAACTGCTAAAGACCAGAATACTTGGTAAAACCCTCTAAACATCTTTCATAAAACGGTAATTAAGAAAATAATATTGTTATTCCAAAGGCTGACATAAGTTAAGAATCTCTGTTAATTGCATAAAAATAAATAATAATCTGCACAAAATCAAACCGTGAGCCTGATCTTGCAAGCACTCATGCCTGTGTTTAACTTTAAGAATGTGAGAATTCCTAGGGAAGTTGGTGCGATTGCTTACTATTTTAAAGTTAAGCACGTGCATAATTGTTTGCAGATTAGGGACCTGAAAAGGAATCAAAAGTCTTAACTTCATTTGAAAGGATAACATGTTTGGTATAGGATAGCTTTCAAAAGTAACACCAATTACTTCTTTCTTTTTCTAAAGTTAACTTATGCTTTTCAGGTCTAAAGCCACAGAAATTTGCTTGGAAGAAATGGAATCTAGATGGCCTGAGGAAGCCCACAGTAAAGAGTAGCAAGAAAGATACTATTACCAAGGCACCAGTTAAGGGATCTGGCAAATCCAAAGCAGTCATTGAAGCTTGTGAGTATTTTTTAAATGCACAGAATGCATTGCAGCATGAATAGCTGAATGGAACATACAGTACTTTGCAAAGTCTAATATAATTGTCAACAGAAATCATTATTCACCCTTCCATTTTATTTTGTAAAGGGTATCCAAATGAAAAAATTATAATAATTTGGAACTTTTGGATTGACTCATACATATATCTTGCTGTTTTGCTGATATTTGCATTTAGAGAAATGAGTAAAAAAAAAATGAATGTGAATGTCAAATACTTAAAATAGCTGCTGATATGAGGGCACCATATGGCCATTCATCTATTGTGCAGAGATCCCTTTCTCCACTTCATCCAGTGGGTCATGAGTCTTCCTCTTACTCCTTCCTGCTGCCTGGCTCCTATTTCCACCATTCCCCCTACTGTTACCATTCCTCCTCCTTGCTCCTGGTGGACCAGCTCTTTCACCACTCCATGTCTTTCTTGCAGGGCCGGCTCCAGGCACCAGCTAAGGAAGCAGGTGCTTGGGGCGGCCAATACAAAGGGGCGGCACTCGGCAGGGCCGGCTCCAGGGTTTTGGCCGCCCCAAGCAGCCAAAACAAAAAACAAAAAAACCAAAAAAAAAACAAACAAAAAAAGCCACGATCACGATCTGCGGCGGCAATTCGGCGGGAGGTCCTTCGCTCCAAGGCGGAGTGAGGGACCGTCCGCCGAATTGCCGCCGAATACCTGGACGTGCCGCCCCTCTCCGGAGCGGCCGCCCCAAGCACCTGCTTGAGAAGCTGGTGCCTGGAGCCGGCCCTGGCACTCGGCCTGCTGTTGGGGTGGCACGTCCGGGTCTTTGGCAGGAATTCGGCGGTGGGTCCCTCAGTCCCTCTCTTCCTCTCTGAGCTGCTGCCGAAGTGCCGCCGAAGGGGAAGAGAGGGAGTGAAGTACCCGCTGCCGAACTGCCACCGAAGAATGGAGTGGCGCAATTGAGCTGCCGCTGAAGTGCCACCAATCGGCTTTTTTTTTTTTTTTTTTTCGCTTTGGGCGGCAGAAAACCTGGAGCTGGCCCTGCTTTCTTGATCCTTCCCACTGCTTAGCATCCTACTTCAAGCCCATTCTCTTGATGCCACCATATACCCTTGTTCCATATCATTTCCTGGTTCAAGTTCCTCTACTGGGGAGAGGTCCAACCTATGATGCCAGAAAGTCTAAGTGGTGGCCCCCAGTCTTGACAATTTATATTTGATTATAAATTGAAAATGTATTTTCTGAGCTGCATCCTATGATCTTTAAACTGAAGAGTTTGAATCAACCCCATCTCTATGCGGTGAAAGTAGGGAGAGCTGCTTTCCCAGCTGCCTCCCATCAACTCCTCTGCAGTCTCAGCAGCAGCTCTCCTGTGAACTGAAAGTGCTCCAAACAGCAGTAATCTCCTCTGTATTTGAGCTGCTCAGCAGCATCCCCAGTGGGCACCTGCTACACTGCAGGGGAGAAATGATAGAATGACTGTGACTGTTCCATATCTGCTTCACTGTTGGGCTGTCAGAGCCCCAGTACAGGAACTTGATTGGCTCTGTTTCAGTCTAAGGGAGACCTTCTCCTAGCCAAACACCAAGAGCAGGAGGGTGGGGAAAGTTGCAAACCAACAACCTGTTCCATGTCCTTGATTCTCTGCTCCAGCCCTAGCCCCAGTGAAAGTTATGGCATTAGGGAGGCTGCTCTAACTTGTACTTGTTAGTTATGGACCAGAAAGGATGGGCCAAGGGAGCAGAGCAGGGCAGATAAGCTGTCCCTAAATATGGATTGGGCGCCTCTGATCTTTTTGAAATAATATGTTTGGATCTCAGACTGAAAAGGTTGGACACCACAGCTCTATATCATCACCTGCCTATAGTGTTGAATGAGCACTTCATTCTGCATTAACTCTGCTGTGTCAGCTTGTTCAGTATGACTCACGATCAGCTCTAGAAGATAGAGGAGTAGAATGATCACAAGGTGTGTTTTATGACCAGGGCACCTGGCTTTGGACTAACGTGCAACAATTCTCACATAGCTTGCCCATAGCGAAAGCACAGGAGAGCCACTCTAGTCTGACTACATTTATTGAGTGTGCTGTCTAACTGATTCTGAATAGGAGCTGCAGGATTGGGGCCCTACACAAAAGGCATTTTACTTTTTATAGGGCTTTCTTTTATTTACAGAATTATTTTTGCTTGTATGAGCTGACCATGTATATCTACTGCATAATAAGGCTGGGCATCTCTCAGTCTTCAGTTGTTGACTTGTAGCCTTCCTTGCTCTTCTTCCTTGTTCTAATTCCTATATTTCTTTTCAAGTACAATAAGTAAAGAATGAACCACAATTGCATTAAGGAATGCTGAAATTAGCACTGTCATCAGGCTTACTGTATAATTCCCTTCTTACCACTCAGGTTCCTGTCTCAAAAGGAGGTTCTTGCTTTCAGTATTCTTTATTTATATGTCGCTTAGTCTGCAATAACAGTTTAAAAATAGAAGTTTATCTAAAATACTGAAGGGACATTGTCAGGAGAATCATTTTGAAAAATGATAAGCTTTTACAAAACCTGAAACTAACAAAAACATTTGCATGAATTTTCCAAGTTATCATGTTTTTGTTTTTAATGAATCAGATTTCTCTTGCAATTCTGGAACCCCATCATTGTGCTGGTACAAGAGAACAAGAATATTAAACTAAGTAGAAAGTAAATATATGTGCAGCAAGTTAAGTAAAACACTCCCTGTTCTGGACATGACCCTCTTCCCCTTACTGGAGCTGTGCTATCTATCCACAGTAGTTCCTAAAGTCATAGGGGCTAGAGTAACCCTGTGTTTGGCCCCAAAAGAGGAAGGCAATGATTTGATTTGTGTGGTGTGTAATGTACATGGTTCTCTCTTATCCTCATTCACTAAATGTGGGAGGGTATTATTGTTATACCTCATACTTTTAAACCTCCCATCCCACCATTTACCATGGTCTTTTAAGGGTTGCAGGAAACATGAAGTCCAGTGAACTGTTCTCATTTATGGCAATTGAGAGGCTGGTTATACAGACAACCACATTATGCCTAAAGAAGAATCATGTTAGTGTGGTCTGTCACTCCCCAGAAGAAAGTATTTCCTAATTTCAATGGTACACAGAGGCCATAATGATAATAATCCTTAGCTCTTATGTGGTGCTTTTCCTCTGTAGGTCTCATAGTGCTTTAGAAAAGGTTAGTATCGTTATTTCCATTTTGCAGATGAGGAACTGAGGTTCTGAGATGTGAAGTGATTTACCGAAGCACAGCGGGTCAACTGCAGAGCCAGGAATAAAACCCTGGTCTCCTGAATCCCAATCTGGCATCCTATCTACTAGACCATGCTGACTCAGCAGCCAATAGCCACATAGCCATTTTATTCCCATATAACTGGTGTTGTCCAATGTAAAATTAAATCAATGTTACGCTGGCTGTCTATGAGGTACATATTTTGAGTCCCTACACATTGTTCCCATAAAAAGGAATACTGGGAGCACTTAACTTTTATTACCGAAAATATTGCTAGCCTGAAAAATAACGTATAATACTAAAATGGTTATGAAAACAGACTAATAATGGAGATTTTTTTAAACAAGATTGGTATATTGAAACATGTTTGTTTGGGGTTCCTTTGTCAGGCGGGCTTGTACTGTTGTTTAGAGTAGAGCTTAATACATAAAGGTGTCTAGGGGGATTTTAAAAAGTGCCTAAGCAGGTTAGGCATCTAACATCCATTGAAATTATTGCGAGTTATGCATATAACCTGCTTAGGGGCTACTAAAATCCCCCTAGGCACCTATTTGCATCTTTAGGCACCTTAAAACCTTTGAAGATCTGGCCCTCAATCGATTTCAGTGGGAGTTACGAGTGCTCAATGCTGCTCAATAGGCACTCAGTACTTTTGCAGGATCAGACCCTGGACCATCATTACTGGAAGAACTGTTCTAAGAATGACAGTAAAAATAATAAGACTTCATAGGTAAAGAAAGATTCAGATAGCAAAATATCCTTCCTCAGGAACAGGTCAAAAAACACTGTAATTTTCAACTATGAAGTATGTTCATCTGTTTTAAAGTCCTGTTCTTGTTGGATCCCCACTAAAGGAAAATATTTTATTTCCTTTTCTCATTGTGAAATGATTTCTTCTTACTTCAGTTCTCTGTTCAGCTGATGACGTTAAAACCCAGCCTTTACAAGTGTAGAGCTTCTTAAAAATTTAAATAAAAGGTTTTTTTTTTAATGAAACAAATGGTTAGTAGTGAGTTAAAATCTGTCTTACAAACAAAATTGAAGAAAATCTCCCTTTTTAGGTCTGGAATGTAAGCAGTTATACAATTTCAGTATCTGGAATGCCTTAGGATTTACAAGGAAGCTTGCTTAAGCGAGTGCATTATTAGATTATTTACAAGACTAAGGTTTTTAATGCTTGATTTTCTTTATACTACTTGAAGTTTTGTGTAATTTTTAAAAATACTAGAAAGTATAGAGATATAATATAAAATAATTTGGATTTACACTCTGCTTTTTCAAAGTGTTGTTAGAAGTTTTAGCTGTATGAATCATTAAAGTTAACAGAAGTCTCATGTTTAAAACCTCATGTAATTCCTTAAAAAAAATACTCTTTGAAGTTTCTGTTTTAAAGTGCAGGTCTACTCTAAAAATGACTGTGTAAAATTAGCAGAGTAGAGTTCCATGTTTATTGCCATTAAATACTCCATATCAAATTTGCTCCATTTTCAAGTGAAAAGTTTTGCTAACTGTCACCTCTGAAAACTCAATCTGGAATGGAAAAAACACGCTGAATTCTTTCCTTTTCATGAAATATTGTAAGTAAATTAAGAAATAATTATGGAATTCCTGAGTTCTGACCTCAGCTTTGACTGTGACTGCATCTCTTTCTTTAGGCGAATCACCTATCTTCTCTGTCTCAGTTCCTCCAGCTGTAAAATGGAGATAATTATGGGAATAATAATACTTTCCTAAATACTTCATTTGGTGTTGTGAAAATAAATCCACTTATTATTTGTAAAGTGTTTTGACAA